ACAGTCCCCCGTCCTGGAGAGATCCCGGCCCCGGGCCCCATTGCCCCTGGGGTCTCTCCATGTTGTCCTTGTATAATACGTAGGGCGCGCCAGTATCTGGAATCAGACAAGTCGAACGAACCTTTATCGATGCGTGGCCCCGTGGAAAAGCGAACAACGCGTCGCCCGAACCGCCTCGCGCCGTTGCCAACGGCCAGGATCGCCCCCGCGAGACTCTCTCTCGGCCTAGATCATTTCGCATCGCGCGGTTTCTCGATCAAACGGATTTTCGTATCGATCATCGAGAATCTACTCTTTCTATCCCAGCTCACGGGACGTTAACGTCAACTCGGACCCTGGTACCGCTACCCTAGATCGTTCGCGGAACCATCAACATCAGCGACCGCTCGACAGATCCGTCTAACCCGATGGATCGGTAACGGAAGCCCGGCTCTATCGTCAGGCTCGAGCACTCCGGCTAACGATCGCTGCATACGATGCTGTACGAGTTAATAGTACCCGCGAAGCTTGATACCTACACAATCCATTTGTAATGGGAACCGCGGCGAGGGGGGCGCCGGGCGGAAGGGGAGCGGACGGAAGGTCGATGTTTATTCGTACTTCGCGAGTCAGCCGACCGGAAGAGCGACAAACCCCGGCTGAATCGGCTTTTTAATCGGCTAATCGGGGAGCCGGGCTGCTTCGGGCCGACGAGCGACGACTCCCGGACCTCGACGCGAAACATTGTATCGGGATCGCGCGCTCGCGGCCGTGTACACTTTCTACCCGCGTTCAATCGACCACGTTCCTGGTCACGCATGGTCAGATACGTCCGGGCCCGAGCGTTCGCAAGTTCAACGGCTGTTATGCAGGTCGGATGCACGCGGGGATACATGTTCGCGCGAATGATTTATGAAGTGTTCCGCCGTATCTGCGACGTCGAATCTCTCGTTTTCTTTCTCTCTCTCCGCCTGGCCTTCCGCGCCAACGAAAAAAGAGGTTCCCTCCGCGACTTCTCTCTTTCTCTCTCTCTCTATCTCTCTCTTTCTCCCTTTCTTTTCCTCCTTTCGTCTTCGCGTTCCGCGCGGTCGTGGGCGGCGTCCGCGTTCGGGCATTAGAAAAAACGTGGAAAAGTCGACGGCTCTCGCATAGTTTGTCTCTACAGGGTGTTGCGGTTCTCGGGAGGAACTGAGGGAATGGTTTTGTAGGGAAATTCGGTGAATGTTGGAGCAGTATTTAATGTATTTAACCATCTATAGGCCCGTGTGACTTTGGAGTCACGTATGTATTGGCATCTCGATTTTCGTTTCGCATAGCAAAGCAATTCAATCAAACTTACGCTCAGTAAGTTGAAGGTTATGATATCTGAATGGCAAGGTATATTGGTTTTGATACAATTATTACACCTTCAACAGACGAAGCTAAATTATATCAATTGCTTAATTAATAGAACGAGGAAGCTACGAGCTGATCTCTTGCGGTTCGAGCAATTAAATCACTCCTTCGCGAATTAGTCCTCCAAATCTGAACATTTCATTGAAGTGTCATTCGCAATGGGTTCGAACTATCGAATGTATGAGAAAGATTCAGCCTGTAGAGGGTCGAGGTTTCTAACAAGTAGAAATGACCGATGAACAGCCTCGCGAATCTTCATTCGAACCAGACACCCTAGTCGCAGCTGTCAGAGCAAGTTCAGCCAAGAATAAATTGTATCCCAGTTTTCCGCTTGCTTTCACGAGGCGGATCCATCGATTTTTCATTTGCCGGCGATTCCCCGAAACGAGGGGCCGGACGGGTTTCTCTTGGCAAGTGGCGAGCACACACCGGCAAAAAAGCGTAGCGCGCGCGCCAAGATCCGAGATTAATGAAAGAAGATGATACTGTTTCACTAACGACACGACGGGAACGACGTGCCCCGCGAGTCGCCGGCGTTCCATTTTGGTTCACCAGTTCCGAAATAATATTCTCCGTTGCCCCCCGCGCCCGTCGTATACATCAGCGACAATTAAAGTCTCGGTTTCTTTGTTCCCCAGGGACAACGGTAGCGACGATCGCGCGACAAAAGATCCCGCGCCGGAGTAATCCTACCAGCGGCTCGGCCCCGTTCCGGGCCGGCACTCGAAACAGCGAGCCCGCGGACAAGGAATCTCTCGGCGGGCCGAGTAATTGAATCGATAGAGCAGTCATCTGACAAACGATGAACCTCTGTTCGAGTGTCGGCGAATAGCCGAGCCATTAGCCTCCTCCCCGCGGTCCGCGGGAGAAGACAGAAGACCCCGAGTTACGCCAGCCGATCCTCGCTCGTCAACGATATCACATTCGTCGCCGTCGCCGGCGGATTCGCGCGTTAACGGCAGTTCGAATAGGAATGTGTCCGGAGGTAAGTGAGTTAGCCGATCGTCACTTATCGCGGGGGATCCTAGAGGATCGGATGTTCTTTACGGAGGATCGAGTGATAATAGCAATTCCGATAGGTGGTCACTTTGACTATGAAACTGCGGAGATACCGTTCTATAGCCCGAGGAGCGAGTCCTCCTAGAGCGCGGAGTTAGCTCTGAACTATCCAACCCGGCTTCATTGGATTCGACGCGGTTCATAGAGCGTTTCAACCGATTTTTCTGGCAATAGCCGACGCGTTTCTTCCGCGGAATTCTTCCTATAAAATGTTCTTGCGACGAATACACGCGAAAATTCTGTTGGATTTAGTAAGTATGAGATCGCTGAAGGAAGCAATTGGCCGTGGCAAATTAATATCACGGTTCCTGTTTAAGGAAACCGTCTCGCGAGCGATTTAATTGCTGATTCGGTGGACACGTCGAGAGACAGGATCGGGGCTCGTTACGGCATCGGCGACACGCGCGCGCGTCTGTCGTAATCACGGCTATCGCTCGCGGAGCGCGGCCGTCACGAGGAAAAACAACGGTGCCGGCGCGCTCGCGCGCGGATCTCCGCTCGGCTCGGATTCAGCGCCGGCACGCGGCGCATCTCATGATTATGGAGCCCCCATTATGCAACGTTACACAAAGTATTCCGTTTTATCGGCTTAATTACCCGCCGGCTCTTTTATTCCCATTCTTTCGTTTATCCGCGCCCGGTCAACGCTACCGGCGCACTCGCGCTCGCGCTCGCGCGCCGCCGCAACTTCTTTCAGGCCGGTTTTGTTTTCGCGTCCGGCCCGTGACGCATCGGCGAACTATCTTCGCTCTCCTACGTTTATTAATATCGAGCACGCTTTCTCGCGCAAGTACATTCATCGCGCGCGCCCCTTCGCGGACGCGCTCTCCCCTTTGACCCCTTTGTTCCGTCCCTTTCGAGGACGAAAGCGTTTTACAGCTATTTCTCGCGTTCGCCGGCCACTCGGCCGACAGTGATCAACTTCTCGAGGACTCGGTGTTTTAATATTTGGAAACGATCGAGGCTGTTGATCGCTTCGACTCGTGTTTTCGTCGTTCTCGGATCATTCGAAAAATGCCGTGTCACGGGAAGTTCCAGGTTGACCTGTGATCGAGATTTCGTAAGATTTTCCCTCCCCCAGTCCGTTGCCGAATCGAGCTGGAACAGTGAGTCACTCGATCGAATGGAGGATGGGGAACCGTATCGAGTGCAGTGTTGTGTTGGAGGAGAACGCTGGAAGAAACTTGACTCGAGAATGTCTCTGCAACAAGGGGACTTATCAAGCAATTTTATGCGCTTAATCTTGGAATGATTCGAATAATTTTATTGTCCCATTCTGAATGGAACGTTCGACAATTTCGCGGACTCAGCGTAGCGTTGATCCTTCGACAGACAATTTTACAAGCCACACCTGAGTCTAGCTTACAGTCGAGTCTATCTAGCTCCAGATCTGACTTCTGTATACCTCCTAGACGATTCTATAATTCAAACTGGAATCTACCGGTCGGTTGACAAATCATTCCGCAACGATTCGTAATACGTAAGCGTCGCTCGTTCACGGTTTCACGCGTCGAGCGCGAATAATTCGATTCTCCCGGCTCGCAGGGCCGCTGGAAACGCGGCTTTTTCATCGTCCGTATCAACCGGAGGGAGCGACTTCGCCGTTTGCCACGCTCGATTGTTATATGTGCCTTCTGATACGGCTGCTTGGCGAGTGATGTACGGTCGTCGTTCACGGTGGCCGGCTGCTCGGCGATCGCTCCTTTGATTCGCGGACCCCGGGATTCTGGGTAGTAGGCACGCTTCGCGAAACAATCGTCGTTCCTCGTGTCTAATTGGATACAAGGAATCAATTTTACTAGATTTCTAGTTGGCAACAACGCCGAGGAAAGGAAACATGCCTTCTTATCTGACTTAAACCTGCTCTCCAAACGATCGGCGATCGTTCTTACAATTGGCGAGCCTCGAAGCCGTCGAAAAATCAATTCCAGTTCAACATTACCGAGTCATTTATCTCTAACTACCAAGAATTCCCAAGAAGTCTATACGCGAACTCAAGATAGCATCGACACGATTATTACCGAATCTTAGAAATTTCTATCTTCCCAACCGACAGCAACGAGTCTATACAACTACCAACAACACAAAGAATAAAACCGTTCTTCCTTTACCAGCGTTAACCGAACAAGAAAGCCGAATCTCCGAAAAAAAAGGATCGATCGAAGCGAGTATCAGTCGAACAATTTAATTAGCACGAGTATCTGGCCCTCGTGGATCGATGGTTCCGATGAATCCGGCTGAAAGAAGCGGATCCGGATGCGAGGGAAATATTCCGGCGAGCCGGGGATTCGCGGGTAGTCTCTTTCCACCGACTTCCTCCTCGAGCGGGCAACGAAAATAATTTTTCCAAACGCGATCGTTGATCCGTGGCTGGAGAGCCGGCTCGCGACTCGCGCATAGAACGGCGCGTCATCCAACGGCTTGGCATCGGCGCTGAAAGAATCGAACGAGAAGCCAGAGAGAAAAAGAGAGAGAGAGAGAGGAGGATCAGCGTGTCACGATTCGTTTCATTATTTTTTCTCTCGTTTCCCCCTTCCACGGATTTCCTTTTACTTCCTTATCGCGCGACGTCAGGATTGATCGGCCGCATCTACATAATATTATCGCTTATTTATTCCGTCGGCTGCCGCTGGAACGGGCTCCCGTATCATTAATTACGCTGA